TTCAAAGAGAAATAAGCTTGATGCTAAATAAAGAAATACATCTTTATTAGCTTTGATGAAAGAAAAAAGTTAAAAATACATGGATCTACAAACACATAAGTATATGATATCTTGAGATATTATGTTTCATACAGTTTCTTCTTATTATCCTACATAAATAATTTTTTAAAAAATATCAATTATAATAGTAAAAGTCATATATGTTCAAAACTTGTGATTGAGTTTTCTTTATCATTTAGTTCTCCTATCGATCTTGGCTCATCTACCTCCTCATCTGTATCTATTTTATTATTTTTTATCAATAATAATAGAGCAAAGTGACAGAGAAAATAATAATATTTATGTAAAAGAAATTTTCAAGAAAGAGATGATAAAAAAGAATAATTATCAAACCAGCATATTAAAAAATATAGATAATGTAAACATGTTATTATTTTTGTTGTGAATCAATTGATAATCTTGAGCTTACTTATTTTAATAAAATCAAAAGTGTTAAGGAATGAGAGGATACCATAGATGATGAAATAAAGACTTTCCATAAAAATAAAATTTGAGATTTTGTATCAAAGCCTAAAAATATAGATCTAATTGCTTACAAATAAATCTACAAAATGAAATGCAAGTGATCTTAGCATATCTTTTCAAATGTAAGTGGTCTATAGTATTTCAGCATCCAGCACCTTTTTTGTCACTCCTTTTTTTTAATAGCTTTAAAATTCTGAGATTCATAAGTAAAGAAAATAATTTCAAATTATTCATAAAATTCTGCTAAAGAACACAATTTTAATATCTCATATTTTACTTAAGGACTACATAAAATTATAAATTTTATGAAGGATTAATTTATAAAAATTAGAATCTTCGACGGATTTTTTATACCAGAAGGAATTTTAAGGGTTTCTTAGGTAGTATAGCCTGTAAATATATAGTTGCATAGGCTATCTTTATATGCTAGAGAGAAACTCACATGTTGAAGGATTTGGCACTAAGACCCGAGAACAACAATAGGGGATCAAGATCATATTCCCCAAGATTATTTTTATATATATTCTTGACTTCTTAAAATTTTTATCAATCCCAAAATATATAAATCATCTATCTATCATCTGATCTTCATCTTGAAAATATATTAGTTGATCCACGAAATTCTTTTAACGGTCCATGATTTGATAATCTATGTATATTCATATATCATGATTCAGATTTCTTTGAGAATTTTATATTAAGTGTCTGATTTGGATCTTATATGACGTGTGGCTACAAGCACGTTATGTCAAATAATTTGGCTTCAAAAAATTTTAGTAGATCTTCAAGAAAAGAAAGATGAACTAACTGAGCCGCCAAAAAATTTGGCGACGTCGTAGGCCACGGCCGCCATCTCCGCCGTCGGGTATGTGCCGAGCCAGATTCGGCTCTCCTTCCGCGGCTCGCGGATCTCCGTCACCCACTTGCCGTTGCGGCTCCCAACTCCGTGGTAGGTCGGGTGCTTCCCGTAGGCCGCTCGTTCTGCTCCCATGACTACCTAAGTCGATTGGGAATTTAATGGATCGGGTTTGGTGACTTCAATGGCGATGGAGGAGGAGAAGGAAAAGGAGGATGAGATCCGTGTATTAGGTCTTTAAGAATACTGAAAGCGTGGGGAATGTGTATGTGTGTAGGAGGAAGAAGAAGAAGACACTATTTAAACCAGTAGCTGGATTGGCAGTCAGAGTTGCAGCAAAACCTACACGCTTGTTTCCACAAAGATATACTTCACTGTTCATCAGTTTAAACATGCAGTGCTACCTCATCGTCTTCTTGAATCCACATGATCCAAAACTTGACCATATCTTTACACACCTAAACGCCAAAACGAAGAAGACAATGGGTGCGGTTACACGACAATTTTCCACGTGAGTATATAATACCGAGTGGGAGTGGGACTTATTACTCGCTATTGTCATGCAGTGCCACTTGGTGTGCATATATGCACCTTCGTGTATCCATGTCTAGCTCTCCCTTGCAATTTGTGTGTGGGATCAGACAAACCTTGTCACCCTACTTCAAGTTCATTGCCTTTAACTTAAGCATCGAGCCGGTTTTAAGCTCACAGATAAACCTTGCATCTACCAATTATTTTATCCCTTCTTTTTAGTTTTGTTAACAATGGTGCATTCTTCTACTTTTCATCATGCGACATGTTATCGTGGTTCATCACCGAAAGACTCACGGGATGCGGCTTCAGGCATTTGTTTGCAACGAAAGGAACACGAAGGATCAATCTCCTTTGTTTATATTTTGCTGTAAGTGGAGACAAATACATTAAGAACGACCTGTTCTCTCGATCATAATGGAATTTGATGGTATCGAAACATCCCCATTACAGTTGTTCAATGGCATCTTACTTAGGGTTCCAAAAGCTATGTATGACAAGGGCCGACGGTGATTGCTTAACTAACATGGGTTCCACATCATGCATAAAAGCGAGCCGGTAGTGGATAGCGCACATACCGAGGTTGTCCGGCTCGGGGAGTTGCTGTGATGGGAGAACACCCCAGCCACATACTTGGGATGGCACTGTACTATGCGTTTTTGACGTTACATGCATGCATGCATGCAATAATGTATGTTTGAGATAACACAAACAGCACCTAGATCGATCTTTTAGTTCTTGCAATCTATCTACCAACAGTTCCGTGGTGAAAGGAATGAGGGGGAAAATGGTGACCGGAAGAGTTGTTGAGAGATGTTACAGCTGGTTAAACCACAACTCCTCCATTCTCCATGCGTCAGTGGCAATATGGGTTGCATGATCCTGCCCGAGAAATCAACGACCCATTCAAGTCCATTTTCTTACGGGCCGCAATGTTGGGCTTAAATGGGCCTAAGTAGATACAAAATTTTCCATTTACACTCATTGTTAGGTTTACCCATTTCTCGACCTTGCCAGGTTCATGGAGATAGCATGTTTGAACGTTTATCAGCAGTCGTCATATTCTACCTCGTCTTCAACTGGACATGACGCATACTTGCTTGTCCGGGAGCAGGTGTTGGATTTATTCCCCGTGGGATTGACGAGATGATGGTCTCCGAGCAGGTAAACGCAGCCTATATATTCCTTCTAGAAAGTCTTTTATTAAACTTATGTTCACTGAATGTCTTTTGGCCTCTTCTTTCTTCGTGTGATATCCTAATCTTGTCCATCCCTTGTGCTTTGACTACGTGTATCCTTGAACTAACCAAGTATTTTAAGTTATCTTTGCTACAAAGATATCATAAAGTATAACTCGAGTTGTGCCTAATCATGTAAAGAATTTTAGACCATAAAGATAGAATAAGATATCACTAAAGTCCAGCATTCATGGAGGCACATCCGAAGAACTACTATGCCTGTGCACCCGCCGATGGTAGTGATATAAAGCGACCGCAGTAGAAGCCTTAATAAACAGGAGGTTGTCTATTGTTCTATCACATGGGTTTGTTGGGCTAACAGCCGATAATGGATTCAGCTCATGATAGGCTTTAACAGCCCACAACCCCTAAATCATATTGGCTTTAACAGCCCACAACCCCTAAATCATATTAGAGAGGATGTGATGACTACGAAAAAAAAGGTAAAAAAAGACAACAACGGAGAAGGTTGCAACCACGTGATTCCAAAGAAAAGGAGGAGAACAAGACAGAAAAACAAGTGAAAGAAATGAAAAAAGATAGGACAACACAAAGAGGAGGAGAACAAGACAGAAAAATAAGAGAAAGAAAGGGAAGAAGACAATGACAATGCAAAGAGACTATTCTCATCTCAAGTTAGATCAAATCTACAATAAATTCTTACTATGATTACTTGGAAAGAATTAGGGAGGATTTAAAATTTTGAGCATAGTAACATGATCCTTATATCTCAGTTATTCTCTTGTAATTGTTGCTAGGGTTTTGGGCAAGAGATTAAGATTTGTATATTCATTATTATTATAATGGATTATCTCTAGTTTATCCTATAATTTTTATCTTTCACATTGAAAGAATTTTTCAGGTATATCTTGGTGTTCTATTTGATTATGATTCCATTTACTTCCGCTGTGGAGTTAGACCTATAATGGATAATTAAAGTTGAAAAATATTAGATTTCAATTAGTTGATTAGAAAATAATAACCCAAAAAGGAACTCATTATTGAATTTTAATTTTGATTTTAAAAGTCATTCTTATATGTGCAAAGAAAATCTCAAAGATGAGAAAAAAATATATATATTATTAATTAAAAAATATTCATGTTAGCATGTGTCAACTTATCCATCTCCTTCAACCCATCCTCATGGCCTTGTAGTTCTTGTGAGTAGTTTCTTAGACATCACAAAGAAAATTTTAGTAAATAATTTTTTAAAAATAAAAAAATATAGATTTCTTCACTCCCTAAGTCCCAAAAATAAAAATTAATTAATTAGTTAAGTAATTAAAAATATTACCATCCAACTAATGCAACTACCTTCATTTCGTTATAATTATCCTCATAAAGCCAACTATGACTGTTCCGTGTCGCTCACGCCACCACCATCCCCCAACTAGCTCTCCCCCCTATCTCCTCTTTCTCCTCCCCTCCCCCAATTCCCATTTGCTCTTCCACTAGCCTCAAAATTTCCCATTTGCCAAAAAAAGAGGCCCTTTGATCAGCCGTTTGCTTGATGTCGTAATCTCATAACAGCACGTCACATGCTTCACTCCCAAGAGCTATATTCTGATCCCTCTCCTCGCTCCACAAGATGTAATTGTTCGTGTTATGGATCGGAGCCGTCTATATAGCTCTTGGGAGTGAAGCATCTGACGGCTATGCTGTTACGAGATAAAGGCGTGTTATTCTCTTCTTGATTAACCAACAAATCAGCAGAAGTAGTTGAGCTCAACCACTCCTCTCAATTCGAGGGTTCACGAATGGTTAAAGCTCAACTACCTTCTGCTACTGTCAGTAACATAACATGGATTACATAAAGCACAAAAATGTAGGAGGAAGGAGAACAACACATCTGAGGAGTAGTCATATTCCAAGACTCTTAATAAGAAAGCAAGAGACTACATCTATTATTCCTTATTTGTCTTACAAATTTTCAGCTGATACATGATTCTTTAAGTACACTGCATCAAAGATGTGAACTACAATCAGAAAGACATACCTTACAAGGAAGATGCTACTTTCGTGGTGGGAACAAACGATACAACTTAGCAAGAAGCAAACTTGATTCGGCAGAGTACCTGCTTATCGATCAGTCCTCCATCAAGCTCAGGAAGATGAACGAGCAGGTGTTAACTGAAATAGTAATGGACGGAAGGTAGTCGAATTACACAACGGGAACAGGCGTATTATGTACAACCATACTGAGAAGAGGACGGGAGGGGAGAGGAGAGAAGACGCTTTCCTGTGCTGCTGCAGGTAAGGATGCGCACCGAACGCTCCGCTAGTGAAGGTCGTAGACATTAGGATCGGCGGCGTAGCATCCCAAGATCCTCACGAGTTCGGCGGTCTGCGAGATCTCGTCAATGGCCTCCATGGCCTTTGGGTCCTCCGTCGAGCCCTCGAAGTCCACGTATAGAACGTGAGGGAACGCCCGGAGCGTCCCCTTCGCCTTCACGTCCAGAATAAACACCGGTGCCTTGTCCTCCTTGGAGGAGGAGTTGATCACCTCCAGCTTTGTCAGGTTGATATTCCGTCTGGAGAAGGCGGAGAGCACCTTGAGGAGGACCACCATGGAGCCGCCCCGGTGCGCGACGACCATAGAGGTTTTTAATGGGGTCTGCTTGGGGTGGACGGCCGCGCCGGCGGCGGCGAGGGACGTGGGGGCGGCGAGGAGGAGGAAGCGGGTGACGTTCCAGGATTCATCCTGGACGCCATGGGCGAGGACATCGAGGCCGTACAGGAGGGCAGCGCGGGGGGAGGCGATGGCGGCGGTGTCCAGGAGGCGGTTGGAGCGGAGCATCTCAACGGCGCCGGCAGTGTCCTCGACGGGCTCGCAGCGGTGGAGGCCGAGCTGGGCGAGGGCGCGGCCGCAGTGGGCAAGGGCCACGGGGTGACTGATGACACGGCGGACCTCGGCGGGGCTGACGCCAGGCATGGCGAGGAGGCAGTAGTTAACGAAGAGGCTGATCTCCTGGACGACGCGGAGGTCGTGCCGGAGGAGGAGATCGTAGTTGCGGAGGGCGGCGCCTTCCATGGTGCTCTCAACGGGGAGGATGGCACGGTCGGCGAGGCCGCGCTCGACGGCAGAGATGGCGTCCGCGAAGGCGCGGCAGGGGAGGGTGTCGCAGCCCAGAAGGGCGGTCTTGGCGGCGAACTCGGAGTAGGCGCCGGGGGCGCCCTGGAAGGCTACGCGGAGGCCGGCGGCGGGTTCGAAGCCGTTGATCCGGGGGTGGCCGTTGATCTTGGGGACGCCGCCGCCGTTGATGGAGGCGGCGCTAGCAGATGCGGCGGCGAAGGCGACTGCGAGGGAGGCGGATCTACGACGAGGGGAGGTCGGTGAGGCCACCGTGGAAGGGATGGTGACGAGAAGATGGCGACGGTCTCTACTCGTGGCGGAGGCGGCGGGAGAGGAGGGGTTGGGAATTTTGAGAGAGGGAGCGGAAGCCATGGTTGAGACTTGAGGGAAGGATCGGGAAATTTTGGGGGAAGTGGAAGAGCAAATGGGAAATGGAGGAAGATGAAGAAGAGGAGATAGGGCCGAATTAGGTGGGGATGGTGGTGGCGTGAGCGACAGGCAACAGCCGTGTTTGACTTTACGTCAGCGATGGGAAGAAGAAGGTAGGAAGACACGAGGAGGATTATTAAGAAATGAAGGTGGCTGGATTAGTTGGATGGCAATATTTTAAATTCTTTATTTATTTCTTTACTTTTTTATTTTTGGGACTTTTACGGTTTCCTTTCTGTTTTTTTGAGAAATTAGTTGCTAATATTCTATTCAGACATCTAATTTTGATTTTTTTTTTCTATACTGTTTTTCGTACTTAATTCTTTCATCCCGATCATAGGGAGGGATAACCCGCGGGACCCACATATAAGATCCTTCAACACCGCTATGGTTGAAGGAGACGAGTATGACGACGCGTAGTAGTAGAAATATTCTTTAAACAAATGATAAATTTTTGGATGAATTCCTTAAAAATATTTCAAAGTTGGTAAGTTTGAGATTTTTTTAAATAGTGCTCCAATTTTGATAATTTTTTATATAATATTTTTTTAAATGATCATTTTATTTTTGTCAGCCACCGTCCTTCACTCAATCTTTGTCCACGCCTTCGTCTCGAACAATCGTCTGTTGCCCGTAACATAATTGTAGGTGAAGACGACTAGTGACAGAGGCCTCACCCTCATCAAACCCTTATAGTCGTCTCCATCGTTCGCATGATCCTCTTGTCGTCAGGGTTTGGGGATTATCCTCGCCATCGATTGTGAGCGAGGAAGAAGAGAGAACAGACCATACACCCTCATTATTAGTTGTGTTGGGGGGAGGGATGAGGATTGCATACCATCACCCATAAATCCCCTTATTGTTAACCAGAGAAAAAGGAGAAGGGCTAACCCATGCATCCTCGTTATTACCCATAGTCAACCGAGGAAGGGTGGCTCGTGCACCCTTATTGTCGACTCGAGGTGAGGGCTATACATCATTGCCCGTAGACTCCCTCGTGCCATCAATCATAGGTGAGCAAGAAGTGGGGATAGCTCGCCCAATCTCATTATCTTGATTGTGGAGGGTAGCTCACTTTCACCATAGCTCGTAGGTTCCTCTTCTCGTCAATCACAAATGAGGAAGGAGGGAGCATGACTTGCGGGCTCTATAGAGATAGGGGCGGTGCAAGGATTCGAGGTTGACGATAGATCCGACAAAGATAAATGCAAAATAGTCTTTTTACGTGATCATAGTGCTCTACAAAATTTTTTAAAAGTTGAAACACTCTAAGAAAATTTATCAAAGATTTAGGCTTACTACTGTCATTTTATTTGCATGTAGAAGAATGATTTATTAAAATCAAATCAAAATTTAAAAATAATTTTTTTTGCATCATTATTTTCTAATAAACTAGATGTTAATGTATAAACATAAATTTTACTTATTTATTCATGAAAGGGAAATAAAAAAATACCAACTATTTGATCAGGATTTTCATTATTCTTCTTATAAACTGAAATATAAAATAAAATTATCAATTACAGGTCTGACTCCACTCCTCCAGTGAATTCCGTGGTGTCAAACTTATTTGTAAGCATTATTATTCTATACTTTGATGAAAAAGAACAAACCAGAACATTTCGTTCATTGGTTTGCTATAATCTTCTCTAATGTTCCTTGCAAACCCATCTAATGGTTGTCACCTCAGCCAATCTTATGACTGAGTCGTGATTGAACTTCTCAATGCACCAATTGCGAGAAAAATAATTTATGCTAGATATGAGGCTTCGTTAATTAATTATTTTTTCCCAAAAGAAATTATATTACTTCAAAAAAATTATGGTGCAACCCAAGCTTAGCTCGTCAGACCTCAACAGTGAACACAAGTCAGGAAGGCCAGTTTTTATCGCCACTAGCAATCCATCCCATATTGTCTTAAATACATGATCAATCAGCGTGCATATTTATTATCATCTTTATATATAGGTTATTTAAAATCCATAAAAACAATCAAGGCATCAGGAAATAGTTCGATAAATGTTGGTGAGGCTCCATGGAGGTGTCTCCTCTATCTTCATTTTTTTTATCAGTCAATTCATTATCTGATTCAATCATGATAAATTAATGCCTTCCTTTACTACAACTTTAATTCCTTGAAAGGCCACAATTAGCTCATTGTAGTTGCAATTTACTTTAGGCCTCCTCTAGATGGACGTGAATTCATGAAATTTATCACATAAGATATTTGCTGAAGAGTTCGAAGAAATCCTAACCCTATTGAAAACAATATTATTATGGATTGTCCTGACCACGATTTAGAATCACCGATTTCAGTTTCGGAAATGCTAGTTTTGGTTCCGAAACTTTTAGTTCTAGTTTAGCAGGAATTATAATCAGAACCGAAATTGGAGGCTCTTATTCCGATTTTGATTTGAACTGATAATTTTTTTATTTTTAAAAAAATAATTTATAATGTAAAATTATATTTTTATTTTTAAATTAAAAAAAAATCAATGTACATCCATAATGACATAATGAATGTAAATGTGTAAAGATATAACAAACAAAAAAAACTTAATATAAAATTTAGTCACTAGTGTTGTCAATGTTAGATGTTTTGTATCGACATCCCTTTGGTTGATAGGTTCAAAGCAATGTCGTTTTCTTCACATATAATATCTTATCTTTGTTTTGTTTCTCTTACCTAATTATCGAGATAGATAGGCTTGAGCTTTCACTGATTCAAAAGTCATGCTTGATGTGATTTCATCTAGGATATGTCTTCTCATGTTAAAAGCTTACGCAATAACTATCATCATTATTAGAATCACTAGTATTTATCCTCACAATCCTCGTTAATATTGAAAATATTATTATATATCGCACTCATCATTTCATAATAGGAAACTCTATACTTAGTAATATTATCACCAAAATCAAAAAACTGTTAGATACATATAAAAGCTCGATGTTTGAGCTTGAGGATCGACTTCGTCTATTTTGACTTTATAATAATAGTTTTTTTTAGAAAAAAGATTTTACCCCTATTGCTAACTTAGATTAGTAGATTCAAAAGTTTCAAACATACCATGTACTCCTAAATTTTGAATCCCCTATTGCTAACTACGTTGATGTACATTGGTGATAAAATTAAAGATGTTAATCCATTTTTTGAATCCCCTATTGCTAACTACGTTGATGTACATGGTATGTTTGAAACTTTTGAATCTACTAACCTAAGTTAGCAATAGGGGTAAAAAAAACTTTTGAATCTACTAATCCCCTTGACCAATCTTTTAACATCTTTAATTTTATCACCAATATTAGTATCTACTCCTAAACTTTGATAATAAATGGATTAATAATCACCTAAGCCATTTAATCTAATACGAGGATTAAAAAACGCATGCAACTAAATAAATCAATGAAATTAAAAAATAATTTATCCATTTTAATTTTATAGTCATTATTGTCATTTGTATATTATCACATTCAGATTCTTCTAATGCACCATACAAACATTAAAAAAAAGTACAATATGATAATAAACATCAAATAAAGTATATACTACATTGTTAAAAAAATTTAAAATTCTTTCACATACATTCCAATAATGTGGATATAAACGAATATACCTAATATTATTTGTAATAAAGTGCATAATAATTCTTTATATTCAAAACAAACTTTAAGCAATTTATATGTAGAATTTCATCATATAGGAATATCCCTAGAAAACTTTTTGAGCTTTTTACCATTTGATTTGTAAAATCTGTCTTATTCTTTCATTACTTATGGATATCCCATAAGAATGAAATAGCTTACTTAATAGGAGAGAAAAAGTTTCAAGAGATCTAAGTCCATCTTGTAAATTTAAAACATGCCAAGCACATCTAACATAAAAAAAAAAACTACCAAAAGTAGGTTGACAAATTTCTTGTAATTTCATAATATAAGTAGTATTTATTGATGCATTATTAACATCAATAGAAAAAAAATTTAAAAAACAAATAATATTCCTCTAAAATTATTTTTATTATTATATAAATATTATCGATTGTTTGCCATTCATTGAAAACTTTAAAAGTAATAATATATTTTTGTATGGTCTAATCACTATCTATTCAATAATAAGTGACTCCTATACAAGAGTGTATTTGCCAATGATCATTCCAAATATAAGAACAAATGAATGTTGGATTATATGATCCTATCTAATTAGCTAAGATGTAATATATATATACTTGAATTCTGATTATAATTATTAACTAATAAAAAAGAAGTTCAATTATAGTAGGATTCCTTACGAGATAGCTTTATGGGAGAGATTCTCCTAATTATTATCTTAGACTATTTGCTCTCACCTATAAAAAGATGAGACCTCGAAACACCAATCATTGAAATTATAAATTTATTCTCAATCTTTCTTAGTCCCTAAATCGAAGAACATGATTCCTAGTGGTTGCATGACATACAAGAACAACCGCAATGACCATGTGGGGTCACCAGACATGTGAGCACAATCACATGCCACGACGATCGTATGAGGTCATCAGTCCGCACATGTGAACAATCACATAGTGAAACGATGATCAACGATGCTAGGTCAATGGCACATGGTCGTGGAGGTATTATACCAGTGAGGAACCCATGCATTATGAGAATAGCCCTACGTGGGTGGGGTGGCATGATACAATAGCATGATGCGACGACTGGTGAGGTCGTTGGTCTAAGAGTATTTTCAATAGTGCAACAGTCATAGGTGGGGCTCAATAGAGGTGTCTCCATGGAATTATTATATAAAATATAATATAAATTATATTTTATATTATTATATTGGTCTTATGGTCATCAAAATGGTCTAGATTAATAACTTATAAAATTAAATTAAAAAATAATCTAAAATAATATTAAAAATAATAATATCCATACGACACATAATTAGGAGATTTAGATAATTTCAAAGGAGAACTTATTTTCAATAATTATGTAATGGGATAAGATAATATTGTTTTAGATATTTTTATAGTTTAGGATTATATATCTAAAGGTAGCAATATCATTCCATAATGATGGTATTAGTCCTCCATAAATAATTTTGAGTGAATATTGAATA